CTCACACGTTTCGTGGCTCCATAGGGACCTCCGCCGAAGGCCCCAGTGCCCGCGCCCGCATGCGTCACCCACACCCATTTCGGCACACCCCTCACACGTTTCGTGGCTCCACAGGGAGCTCCACCGAAGGCCCCAGTGCCCGCGCCCGCATGCGTCAGCCACACCCATTTCGGCACACCCCTCACACGTTTCGTGGCAGGCAGCCAAGCTCGCGACCGAAAGGCCCCCGTGCCCCAGCGCCCGCATGCTCCACCCACAACCATTCGGCACAGCCCCTCACCACGTTTTCGTGCTCCATAGGGAGCCTCCACCGAAGTCCCAGTTGCCCCGCGCCCGCATGCGTCAGCCACACCCATTTCGGCACACCCCCTCACACGTTTCGTTGCTCCATAGGGAGCTCCGCCGAGGCCCCAGTGGCCCGCGCCCGCATGCGTCCCCCACCCCATGTCGGCATACCCCTAACACGTTTTCGTGGCTCCATCGGGAGCTCCACCGAAGGCCCCAGTGCCCGCGCCCGCATGCGTCACGCACACCCATTTCGGCACACCCCTCACACGTTTCGTTGCTCCATAGGGAGCTCCGCCGAAGGCCCCAGTGCCCGCGCCCGCATGCGTCACCCACACCCATTTCGGCACACCCCTCACACGTTTCGTGGCTCCATAGGGAGCTCCACCGAAGGCCCCAGTGCCCGCGCCCGCATGCGTCACCCACACCCAGTTCGGCACACCCCTCACACGTTTCGTGGCTCCATAGGGAGCTCCACCGAAGGCCCCAGTGCCCGCGCCCGCATGCGTCAGCCACACCTATTTCGGCACACCCCTCACACGCTTCGTGGCTCCATAGGGAGCTCCACCGAAGGCCCCCGTGCCCGCGCCCGCATGCGTCACCCACACCCATTTCGGCACACCCCTCACACGCTTCGTGGCTCCATAGGGAGCTCCACCGAAGGCCCCAGTGCCCGCGCCCGCATGCGTCACCCACACCCATTTCGGCACACCCCTCACACGTTTCGTGGCTGCATAGGGAGCTCCACCGAAGGCCCCAGTGCCCGCGCCCGCATGCGTCAGCCACACCCATTTCGGCACACTCCTCACACGTTTCGTGGCTCCATAGGGAGCTCCACCCCCCCAGTGCCCGCGCCCGCACGGCACACCCCTCACACGTTCTCCATAGGGAGCTCCACCGAAGGCCCCAGTGCCCGCGGCCGCATGCGTCGGCACACCCCTCACGCGTGGCTCCATAGGGAGCTCCACCGAAGGCCCCAGTGCCCGCGCCCGCATGCGTCACCCACACCCATTTCGGCACACCCCTCACACGTTTCGTGGCTCCATAGGGAGCTCCACCGAAGGCCCCAGTGCCCGCGCCCGCATGCGTCACCCACACCCATTTCGGCACACCCCTCACACGTTTCGTGGCCCATAGGGAGCTCCACCGAAGGCCCCAGTGCCCGCGCCCGCATGCGTCAGCCACACCCATTTCGGCACGCCCCTCACGCGTTCCGTGGCCCCATAGGGAGCTCCGCCGAAGGTCCCAGTGGGTGTGCCCGCATGCGTCCCGCACACCATTTCGGCACACCCTCACACGTTTCGTGGCCCCATAGGGAGCTCCACCGAAGGCCCCAGTGAGTGTGCCCGCATGCGTCCCGCACACCCATTTCGGCACACCCCTCGTACGTTTCGTGGCCCCGTAGGGGGCTCCACCGAGAAGATATTCACAATTGCAGTATTCACAATTGCACATGGTTGGGTCCTTCGCCAAGATAATTTCTTTCAACTCTTGGCAATGCAGAGCCTTTTCACGCTCGGAATGGGGACGGACACTTTGGGCACGAAGCCCAACAGTATCGAGTGCTCATGTGGAACAGGAGCAGCTGTCCTTCGCAACCAGTCCGACAACAACCCTTTGTCGTTTTGACAGCAACTCTGGCCCGTTTCGACAGCGAGCGCTGTCAAATGGACAGAGTTCCAGAGGAAGGGCCTCGCCTTCAGCGGAGGCCGGCGGGAGCAGAACGGCGGTGGCTCTGCCGACGGACACTTTCTGGAATCGCGCAGGGAACCGCTGAGGCTGGCGATGGCCAGCGCAGCGGCGCGGCGCAGCGGCACGGCCGCGGGGGCGCGGACGCTCCTGCGAGGCCGACTGCGCGATGCGCAGCAGGCTGCCTCGCGGGCGGCGCGCTGGCGAGGAGGACGTGAACGAGGGGGCGAGGAAGAGGACGAGGGCGACGAGGAGGACGAGGTGGACGACGCATGCCTCCTCGCGTCGTGAACAGATCGTGCACAAGTCGGGGCTTTCAGAAGAACAAGAGGCGCGTAAACATAAACTTTCGGAGATCCGCGCGGATCGCTTGGATTGGCGCTGGACCCTGCTGGCGGCGCCGGAGGGGGGTCCAGTTCCGATCCACGAGATCCGACCGGACCTCTGACAATTTATGTTCATGTCTTTTTCCCGTCCTCGGGCTTCGACCAGGGGGGGCTATGAAGCTGGCCATGGCCACGAATCCCCCCGCTGGCTCTCTCCCTCCTTATCGAGCGAAGCTGGGTCCGAATGGTTGGGCCGCCTTGTTCCGCACTGAGGGAGGAGCAGCGAGGTCAGGACCAGGTCGACTACGCGCATGGGTGACTCTAGGCAACAAGCGTGACCTCTGGTGAGAAGCTTCGACCAGGGAGGCCGATGAAGCTGGCCTGAGCCACCCTCCAATTCTCTTCCTCTCCTTCGAGCGAAATCTGGGTCCAAATGATCGTGGCGCCTCCAGAAGAATAACGCCTGCATCCGTGTACTGTCCGTGTAACGCCGGGGAGGTCAGGACCAGGTCGGCTACACGCTTGAGTGACCCTGAGCACACTTGGTGTGCGGCTCTAGGGGATCGCGGAGGGGCTTCACCTAGGCGCACAAGAAGGTGCTTGGGTTCCCCCTGCATGTCCGCACCAAGGGTCACTCTGTCGAAGGTCACCCTCGTGTGCAGCCGACCAAAGGGGAGAGGGGAGGGAGGGTGCACGTGAGGAGGGACGCCGGCCCGAGGGGCACTTCGACAGACGGCACGATGCAGAACCGTCCGCTGGCGGGCACGGAACGAGCAAACTGGGAAAGGGAGACCCAGGAAACACCTGCCATCGTGCCGCAGGTACGATGGGGCGTGCTAGAATGCTTGTCGGTTGTCTGGTGGGGATTCTACAATTTTTCAACTTCCGCCCCCCGTGCTAGCACACATCGTCCCCCCCCCTCCCTTAGTGTGGCGCCCTCTTCGGCCCCCAGACGACTCGAAGACATCCCAAACTCTCTACAAAACCGCTCCAACACGTTCCAGAACCATCCACAGGCAACAACTCGAGCTTCCGAAAGGCTCCAGAATCTCCCGAAGATGCCCCCGACGGCCCCCAGAAACTTCCCAGAGACGCTCGAAGAGGCCTCCAACGAGGCCCCAATATGCGAAAAACATATGCCGACTCATGGCAAACACATGTTGGAAACTTCCGAACCTCGCCGACTTCATAAGGACAGCGAACTCTATACACCGACGCTTTTTCAGGCCCTGCGTTTCAATCTCCAGGAAAGCGGATCCTGGTATACACGGAGCCCTGGTGTATAGATTCTTCGCGGTTTCCCTGGGAAAACGGGGAAACACGTACACACCACACCACCCCGACGTCGTCCGCGACCCTCAAAAAGTCCTGGGATTGAAACAAAAGCCCGCCACTGGTAATGTATATGTATGCTCCAGCTTCCGATTCAGATCGCATCGGGAAAGCTTCAGGCAACCTCAACAGGCCCCCAAAGGCTGCCCAGGAAGGCCCCGAGACTGCCCAAGAAGGCCCCGAGACTGTCTGGCGACCGCTGGTTTCGCCGACGGCTGGTTTCGCCCGGCGAAAACAGCTCCGTCGGCGAAACCAGCTAAACCAGCTGCAGTCGGCGAAACCAGCTGCCGTCGGCGAGACTGCCCGACCCGACCCGCCCGACCCGACCCGCCTGTTAGGGTTCGCGCGTGCTCGGTCGAGCGCACCCCACACTTGAATGTACTGCCCGCTCGACCCAACCCGCCCGTTAAGGTCCGCCCGCCCGACCCGACCCCACCTGCCCGCTAGGGTCCGCACGCCCGACCCGACCCGCCCGTTAGGGTTCGCGCGTGCTCGGTCGAGCGCGCCCTACACTTGAATGTCCCCCCCGACCCGACCCGACCCGCTCGCTAGGGTCCTCCCGCCCGACCCGACCCGCCCGTTAGGGTTCGGCCGTGTTCGGTCGACGAGCGCGCCCCACACTCTCATGTCCCGCCCGCCTGCCCGACCCGACCCGCCTGTTAGGGTTCGCGCGTGCTCGGTCGAGCGCGCCCCACACTTTAATTTCCCGCCCGTCCGACCCGACCCGCCCAGGAGGGTCCGCCCGCCCGACCCGACCCCACCCGCCCGCTAGGGTCCGACCGCCCGACCCGACCCGCCCGTGAAGGGTTCGCGCGTGCTCGGTCGAGCGCGCCGTACACTTCAATGTCCCGCCCGCCCAACCCGACCCGTTAGGGTCCGCCCGCCCGACCCGACCCGCTGGCTGGGGTCCGACGGCCGACGCCCGACGACGCCGCCGCCCGACGACGACGATGACGACGACGACGACGCGACGACGCGATGACGACGACGACGACGACGACGACGACGACGACGACGACGACGACGACGACGACGACGACGGCGACGACGACGACGACGACGACGACGACGACGACGACGACGACGATGGCGGCGACGGCAACGGCGACGGCGACGACGGCGTCGGCGAATCCAGTACCAGCGAAACCAGCGCCGGCGAAACCAACCGTCGGCGAAACCAGCGGGGCGAAACCAGCGCCGGCGAAACCAGCACATGCCGACTGTCCAAGACGGGCCCAAGAGCCCCTCAGAAGCCCCTTGTCCTTCTTCTTCTCCTCCTCCTCCTCCTCCTCCACCTCCTCCTCCCCTTCCTCGTCCTCCTCCATTTTCTCCTCCTCCTGGTCCTCCTCCTCCTCGTCCTCCTCCTCTCCCTCCTCATCCTTCGGATGATTCAACTGAATCTCTTCGGGAGCGGCTGGTGGCACTGTCCAGCCCGAGGCGGCACCGAGACCCTGACGGGCTCTTCGTCCCCCCAGAGAACCAGCGAAGCCATGAGCATGCCCTCAAAGAGCGGGGAGGAGCGAGGAGGGCGAGAGAAGAGGAGAACCCGGCTTGTGGACAACGAGGGGGCGTTCAAAGGCCAGCACAAGTTCAGGCATGGCGCCGAGCTGGGGAACGGGCCTGGATACCACACCCCCTCCTGCTGCGCTGATGCGATGGCACGGTGGCGGGGCTTGCCGCAGGCAGCTGGATGCCCGAGGCATGCTGCAAAGCACACCCACTTCTTCTGTCTGCCTTTATTCGCGCGGCCACCGCGGAGCGGGGGGTGGAGGCACGGATGTCGAGGTCGCTTGCGCTCGGGTGCTCCTGAAAGGCAGGGCGGTGAGGGAACATAAAAAGCGGGTGGTCGTGGATCGTGGCGGGGAGTGATGCGACACGATGAATCAAGAGAAGCATGCGATTGCAGCAAGCAGCGGTCCCCTAAGCGAACGACGATACTTCCACTGGCCTTCTGGGCGTGCGTAGATGCTCTCGGGTGCCAACTCTTCCGGTACAACGCATTCTGCCGGCAAAGGCCGCCGCGCGAACGCTAGAACGTCTAGGACGGGACACGTCAAGACGGGGCACTGCCAAACATGTATTGAAAAGCATCCCAAGAGGGCCCCAAATGCCAAGAGAACTCCCAGATGTCCCCAAGTTGCTCATGTTTGGGGCTTGCTCAGATTGGTCCCAGCTTCGGTTCGACTTGTGCTCATCGCCGCTCATGTTTTTCCCAATCATCCTATGGTGTTGTCGGTGCCCGCGTTCCTCCTTCCTCCTCCCCATCCTCCTCCCTCCTCCATCGTCATGGTCATCACCAGTTTCAGCACACCCCTCACACGTTTCGTGGCCTCGTAGGGAGCTCCACCGAAAGCCCCAGTGCCACCGCCCGCATGCGTCACCTGCACCCATGTCGGCACACCCCTCACACGCTTCGTGGCCCCATAGGGAGCTCACCCAAAAGGCCCAGAGCCACCGCCCGCGTGCTAAATCCACACCCATGTCGGCACACCCCTCACACGTTTCGTGGCCCCATAGGGAGCTCCACCGAAGGTTGAGTGCCACCGCCCGCGCGCGTAATCCACACCCATTTCAGCACACCCCTCACACGTTTCGTGGCTCCATAAGGAGCTCCACCGAAGGCCCCAGTGCCACCGCCTGCATGCGTCTCCCACACCCATTCTGGCACACCCCTCACGCGTTTCGTGGCCCCATAGGGAGCTCCACCGAAGGTCCCAGTGCAACCGCCTGCATGCGTCACCCACACCCATTCGGCACACCCCTCACACGTTTCGTGGCCCCATAGGGAGCTCACCCGAAAGCCCCAGAGCCACCCCCGCGTGCTAAATCCACACCCATTTCGGCACACCCCTCACACGTTTCCCCCACTCACCGAAGGCCCCAGTGCCCCGCCCGCATGCGTCCCACACCCATTTCGGCACACCCCTCACACGTTTCGTGGCCCCATAGGGAGCTCCACCGAAGGCCCCAGTGCCCGCCCGCATGCGTCACCCACACCCATTTCGGCACACCCCTCACACGTTTCGTGGCCCCATAGGGAGCTCCACCGAAGGCCCCAGTGCCCGCCCGCATGCGTCACCCACACCCATTCGGCACACCCCTCACACGTTTCGTGGCCCCATAGTGGATGCGTCCACCGGCAAGGTCCCATAGGGAGCTCCACCGAAGGTCCCAGTGCAACCGCCTGCATGCGTCACCCACACCCATTCTGCACACCCCTCACACCTTTCGTGGCCCCATAGGGAGCTCCACCGAAGGTCCCAATGCAACCGCCTGCATGCGTCACCCACACCCATGTCGGCACACCCCTCACACGTTTAGCCCCATAAGGAGCTCCACCGAAAGCGCCAATGCAACCGCCCGCATGCGTCACCCACACCCATGTCGGCAAACCCCTCACACGTTTCGTGGCTCCATAAGGAGCTCCACCGAAGGCGCCAGTGCAACCGCCGGCATGCGTAATCCACACCCATTTCGGCAAACCCCTCACACGTTTCGATGCCCCATAGGGAGCTCCACCGAAGGCCCTAATGCCACCGCCGGCATGCGTCACCCACACCCATTTCTGCACACCCCTCATGCGTTTCGTGGCCCCATAGGGAGCTCCACCGAAGGCCCCACAGTGGCTGCGTTCGCTTGTGCCCACCGCGCCCATTTCGGCACACCCCTCACACGTTTCGCGGCCTCATAGGGAGCTCCACCGACGGCCCCAGTGGCTGCGTTCGTATGCGCCCACCGCACCCATTTCGGCAACCCCCTCACACGTTTCGCGGCCTCATAGGGAGCTCCACCGACGGCCCCAGTGGCTGCGTTCGCATGCGCCCACCGCACCCATTTCGGCACACTCCTCACACGTTTCGTGGCCCCATAGGTAATTCCACCGACGGCCGACGGCCCCAGTGGCTGCTTTCGCATGCGCCCACCGGGCAAATTTTGGCACACCCCTCACACGTTTCGGGGCCGTATAGAGCTCCTCCGAATGCGAGGCATACAACGACGGTACTCACAGCTGCATATGGTTGGATCTTTCGCCAGGCAATGTTTGTTCCTCGTGGATTTTTCTTTGTGGTTTACGACGTCTTATGAGAGCTTGCTGATCACGAGGATCGAGTTTGCTTAGCACAAGCAAGCCGTGCAATGCTTACCCCAAGGGTACCCTGGCCTTCCGGAGATCGCATCTGCGGTGGTACACATACTGAGAGCTCGACGCTGGAGAGGTACCGCGTAGCGTCAGGAAGGATGAACGCATCAACGGTGCTGCCCGAGGGTAGTCTCAACGTCGAGCGGGTTAAACACCCCTTATCCAATTCTGGCTGCAATCATCCTGACACTGCCCACCTGGCAGCTCCTGGCGGCTCAGAGAGCAGTCACAACTTGGAAGGGGGATTGTCGAGAACTATCGCGACTGCCTGGGTAATTGATGGAGATGGGGTGGGTATAGGGAGTGTGCAAAGGCCGGGTCGGGAAAGAGGAGGTGTTCTTAACCAGTGTTAAGCTCCCCTGGGAATGGTGTGGGCATGGAAGTCTCTCTAGACCACGAGTGCTCGAGCGGAGGCAGTCTGCGCTCGAGGCGGTTCGTCAGTAGCGTGCTCGACGAGAGAAGCGACGCAAAATGTTGGGGCAGGGGGGGGGGAACGGGTCACTTCGGATGAGTGCTGCATGTTCCTGGCCTGTTTCTCCGCACGAATGGTATTCAACGAAGGCGAGCAGCCGTACGTGAGTTTCCTCCACCAGTTAGCCAGCAAGGAAGGGGCAAGACCAGACATATTGCCAGATCGTGCACCGGCCATTCCCGAACCCGCTCGCGTGCATTTTTGGATGTGCGTTTTTTGATGCGAACTCAGTGAAGCACGTGCTGCAGGGTGGAGTGGTGGAAGATGAGACCTGTGAATTGACATCCCTCCTTGTAATACATCCGACCGACCCCGTAACAACATCCCGAGTCCCACCAGCCCTCTGGGCGTCGGTGGTTTAGAGCGTTTCCTCTTCCACCCCTCCTTCTTCCCCTTCGGGGAGGGGTTTACCCCTCCCCCTACCCCCTCCCCACTGACCTGGACAGGAGGGGCGGGGAGCGGTCAGAGCGTCCAAAACGGCCTCGGCGAGGAAGCCAAAATCATTGATTTTACTATGGTTTGGGCCCCATTTTGGCCTTCTGAGGGGGCAACGCTAATTAAGGCTCCCCTCTTCTTTGATCGATTTCCTCCACGATGGCCGCAAGAGGCCCCCAGGATGCCCCAAGAGGCCGCAGGATGGCCCCAAGATGGCCCCCCCCCCAAGAGGCCCCCAGGAGGCCCCCAAGAGACCCCCAAGAGGCCCCAAGAGACCCCCCAGAGGCACCCAAGGTGCTCCCAGAGGCCCCAAGATGGCCCCACGATGGCCCCAAGAGGCCCCAAGAGGCCCCCAGGAGGCCCCAAAGAGGATCCCGAACGGCCCACAGAGGCCCCCCCGAGGCACCCAAGACGCCGAAAAGCCCCTCAGGACGACCCTCTACTCGCCTGGGCGTCGTTTCTGGACGGGCTGGTGGGGATACGCGAAGCGTCTAGAATTCCGTTGTGGGAGTCAGGGCTCTTCGTGGCCTCGAGGGTTTTCACTGACTCGAGGCTCTCCACGCGCTGAATTATTCTGAAGGCTGATGCCAGCTGTGGTTGACTGAAGACAGCAAGAGGCACGTATGATGAAAGTGTACAGCAGCATAGGTGTGCGTTGTCACGTTTGTTTGGTAGAGATCGAAGTCGTTGATGTGATCTCCCGCGTGATGTGGTGCTCGTGATGGACTGGCCTGCAGCTGGCATCGCTTCTGGATGGGCTCTTAAGGATTTGCACATCGTCAAGATTTCTAGCTTTCCTTCTTTCGGGAATTATGGCAGAAGGATGCCTAGACAGGGGGAGGAGTACGCAACATTGTGATTAGCCGGGGTTAGGGGCCAAGGGGCAGCGAGGAAAAGGGTGCCGCACTGGTGTCATAATTCGCCGGCCCAACGGGCCGAAGGCGTGCAAGATCTCCGGTAACAGGCTAAGAGTATCTCCAGTTCGCGCGCGCGTGGCGGCCCCTGGGGACCCCTGGGCGAAAAATACCCCGGGCGATGCCCGGCTGACTCCCCCAGGGTCTCCAGCAGCGCGCCAAAAAGGCGCCGGGACGCCCCCCACACGGCCCAAGAGGCCCCGAGTCGCCGAAAGATCGTTCCAAAACGCTACAGATGGTCTCTAGATGGCTTCATAGGCTGCAGAAAAAACCCAAGAGAGCCTCAAGGGGCTCCCCAAGAGGGCCCCAACAAGCAAAAATCGTCCCATGCCCTTCGGGAAACGTAGATTTGTCGCATGTGCGACGTTTGGGGGTTCACAGCGTCCAGAACTGCCCCAGAGGCCTCCAACATCGTCCCCCAAGATGGGCCCAAGAGAACCCGGGCCCCAAGACGGCCCAAGATGGCCCCGAGACGGCCCAAGAGGCGCCCCCAGACAGCCCAAAACGGCTCAAAACGGCCCCAAGAGGGGCCCAAGAACTGAAAAGTCTAGTCTTCAGCCCCAAGAGGCCCCCAGGAGGCCCCAAGAGGCCCCAAGAGGCCCCAAGGAGCCCCCAAGAGGCACCCCAAAAAGCTCCAAAAGGCCCCAAGAAGCCCCAGGAGGTCCCAACACGGCCCCCAAGAGGCCTCAAAACTGCCTCCCAGAGGCCCCCGAGAGGCCATCCACGAGAGCCCAACCAACATCCATGAGGCCTCTGACCCACCACCCAGGCACGGTGGCGGGATGGGCCGAAGGCCAATCGATCCGCCGCCCCCTTTTGCTTTAGCAAAGGGGTGCCTGGCGTG